TGGTGTTTGTTAACCCAAATGCCAGGACTATACTACAACATGAAAATTTGAAAGTGAAAATTGATTCTCAGAAGTGAAGATGATGATTTTCATTTTCCTTGGTGAATAAAATGCAAAACAGAAAAATTAAAATGCATAGAAAGGCTCAACTTTATGGTACTCCACTTGTTCTCACACATTTTAAACACCCAACTCCATCTTCAAATACCCCATTCATTCAAGGTACAAGATCAGAAAGCAGAATGTTTTGGCACTGCTTGAGAGTTACAAATATAGAATTTCCCTAGATCCTAGAGGGAAAAAAAAAGTTGTACCAAGGACCAGATGCATTATACACATAGCATAGCCCCAGAGTAGAATTTGTTTTGATTAATTGATTCTTCATAATTTTTGAAAACTGGGTACTCAGAATAACTGTGTACTCTATATAAAAAGCATAACTGCAAAAAGAATGAGGGGAGGTGAATGCAAAAAGGAAGGGGCACCTAATTATAAACTATTAACAGTACTGCCTAGAAACCATTATATTCACAACGTTCAGTTTCCTTAAGGAAGAAATAAATCAATTCTTTTTTTTTTCTCCTAAGGATAAACCATTAATAAATCACAAAAATAATGGAAGTGTAGGTAACCAGTTGTTTTTTTTTTCCTTAAGCTCATGAAGTGTGGAATAAGCAACCAGAAGTCACGACTTGCTTAGTATAATTGATTAAAGCAGAGAAGACTCATGAGCCTGTATTAAAGCCAAAGGAAATCAAAATATACTCAGGTTGCAGCATGTGCTCATAAAAAAGCTCTCAATTGGATTTCAGAAGAAGTATTGATCTGTACCTCTGTATCCTCTCTCTTCTTGGCTACCATGTATGATTGGAGTCAGTTACCTCCTACAACAGAGTTCTTTGTGGAAGCCCTGGCTCATGTGGATAAAAGAAAAAATGTAATACCGTAGTTTTATTAAAGTTTATTGGTGAAACCTTATAGATCTATTTGTATGAAAGGCTAGACATAGTCAAAACAACAAGAAGTTTAACTGGAAACTTTTAAAAGTAAACTCAACCAGATAAGCATTTTGTATAAGTTTACTTACAGAGTTTTACAATATAGCACCTTTACACATCAATGGCCAGTTTCCTTTCTGGAATATAAAAAATACTTCATAACATTTCCATCCAATATTGGTTACCAATATTCAGAAAACAAACAAACAAAAAAGAGTACCTTGATGGTCCTTCAAGTATAAAGCAGAATATCCTATAGATCATCCCTACTTGTCTTCGATAGGATAATTCATCCAAAAGTTATTGTCTCTACCTATCTCCCTTTTCCTTTAAATATAAATATTGCCATTTCATGTTTTTAGTGATCAAACTTTGATATTTCTTAAGCAGTAACTTCTTGCATGATCACATTCCACAAAAGTATTTCAAGTTTAAAATTTTTTTTTTAATGACAGTGTCAAAAGGCTATGTCTACACATTCCCAGAACACAGTTCTCCCTGTTCCTCTCCCCTATGCCTTCAGCCAATGTCGATGCTCTATTTGCACTATGTTCCAATGAGGCAGCAAACACTCTTTGTCTTTGTCTTCCCGTCTAAATTGTCTGGACCAGGCTTGATTGCCTGGCTGTGAATATATAAATGGCTATCTATATGCTTTAAAGGATTTACCTTTAAAACGCTGCAAGAAACTTTCAAAGATGGGTTAGAAATTAGTAGGAATAAGATTGATCAGGAAGTAGCATATACCAGAAAAGAAGATAAAGTTCAGCCCAGAGATTGAATAAGTAAAGAAGAGCCAATTCTGATTTTTTCCCCTTTCCTTTCTCTACTTAGCTCTTCAGGCTTAGTCTCTGTGATGAGAATCCCCACAGAAACTGAATACCTTGCTCCACACTGGGCATGCCCACTTGTAAAGGCAGGTATTAGTTTTAAGTGGTACCAGTTACTACCCCATAGCAGCATTTGAATTCCTTTAAGGGCCAGACAACTCTTAGCCTAAGTATTCCACCACCCACAGAGAAAAGGCCAAAAGGAAAGTAAATGTGTTCCTTATCTTAAGTGGCCCATTCAGTAGAACCCCTTATCAAGCAGCAGAGAAGGGGACCACTTTGTCTTAAAACTCAAGATACCAGTATCCTTTCATTCAGATAAAAACTACAGATCCATGGCTTTCATTTCTATCATATCCCAAGCAGTAAGGAGGCAAGGAAACCGAAGTGAAGGATGGAAACAAGAGCTTCGGAAAAAGGAAAAATTTGCCCCCGTGGGACCTGAAGTCACATGAGCAGAGCAGATGAAAAATGTGAATGTGAGCTAAACTGGGACTCCTCACCAGCAGCAAGGACAACACTGTGCCAAAGCCCTGAAATGAAAACCACACTTACCCCTCTTTTGTGTGTATGAATAATGCTACAACCTCAGAAGGAAAAAAAAAGGGGGGGGAAGTACAGCATTACTTTCCTTTCTTTTCTTAAGATTACAAGACCTATAAATGAAAATCCATTTTTAAGGAAGCTGTGCAATCTTCCATTAATAATGATTTCTACTGTTGATGGACTCAAAACAGGTCTTGTGGTAGGCAAAGGACTCTCACTTTATGCTCCAATTCAGGTCTTCATTAGAAGGGGGCAAAGGTAAAAACAACAACAATACACACACACACACACACACACAATCAGCCAGAAAACAACAACAACAATAACAACAACAGGAAGAAAAGAAAACAATCGACCACCACCAACAAAAATGTAGATCACTCAGACCTAATTGTTCCAAAGGCGGCAACTGTCTCACTGCCCATGTGAACACTGACACCATTTACAGAATTTTTCTTCTCCTTGGGGTGGAAGGTACTGCCAAGTGAATCATTATTTATTAACCAGGCTGCTGTTCACATTTGCACACTCTAGGGAAGAAGTTTGGAAGGGTGGAAACAACACTGGGCTTTCCCTTAAAGACCCCTGAAAGGGAACACAGAAGGGAAATCAATTGGAGGAATTAAGCATCAGTTGTACTTCCTTACTACATAGTAATACTCAGCCACTGTGGACAGTAACCCGACTCCAACTAACTAGGTAGCCCCTATGGCTGGAAGGAGAACATCCCATTTACCTTCTTCATAAAAAAAATAAAATTAAAAAAATTTTAAAAAACCATTAAAAGAAGAAATCCAAAATATTGTTGCTCTAAGAAGATATACCCCCCCCCAGATTATGGAATATTCAGATTCAAATTTCTTTATCCCCAGCCTTTGCTTAAACAATTAGCCTTTTTGCAAAACTCAAGTCTGGTTTCTACTACCCCACCCCAAAGGGTCTTTCACTTCCAAGGAAAGGAGGATCTCTCACTGATGATTGCCTTAGCCCAGGGCTGGCAAGTATCAAGTTACTGTCTTGTTTGCCATTCTGATTTGTGGTAGGCTCCCTCCCTTTCACCATCACCCAATTTATTGTCCTTGTCTATTTCTCCAATTCCCACTATGTTATTGCTGTGCATATTGACTCTTTGTCCTGGGGCTCATAAAAACAGAATTAATCATTTCTTTGCAAAAATGTTTAAAGTGTCCAAATAGTAATGCCGAATCCATATAATAACTAAGACATGCAAAGGGCTATGAAATTCCTGAATCTAAACAATTGACTCTTCTTGAAGGAGATACTGAAGAGTTAATGGAGGACACTGCTCCTTGCTTCCTAAATGCTATGATCCAAAATATTAAAGCCAGATAAAGACAGCATAATTAAAGCATTTTTGCAGAGTGTCACTGCTCAGAACTCCAACTGGCAGTCTCTGTGTTTGTCCTAAATAACCTTCACAGGTTGCAGAAAAGTGTTACCAGATCCCAATCAATTGTCAGATTAAGCTGGTTCCTGAGGGATTTTAGTGTAAGACCTTAAACCAGGGAGATATGCTGATAGTTGGAGAGAAGATTTTCATGTGTTGGGAGGGAACAATTTGCCTTTATCAAAATATTAGTCTTCAGTAAATCAGGAAGTGATGCCAATAATTTAGTAAAGAAAGTAGAGGGTGCATTCAAAGGGAGATACTTCCTAATGGTTGGGTGCTTTGCACATATAGATTGCAGAAACCATGCCACTCTAGCTTTCCTTATTTTTCAGACCCATATGTGAAGGGACCAGGTGGGGGATGGGGAAGTGTTATAACCTGAGCATTTGGAAACAGGAAAAAAAAATCTTTCTTGGAGGGGAATGGGGCGCCGGGGGGGGGGTCGGGAGAGAGAGAAGTCGCGCTCCATTGTCAGGAATACTGGCTGGCGAACAGCAGCTCTGCAGGGCTTCCATCATATTTCCCCCTTGGTTAACTTAATCTCACTCGCCACAGAATCAATTTCAGCACCTTCCAGATAGCCACTGGCGAATTTTGGGGTCATCAGTTAAGCCTCCTCACCATTGATTTTTTTTTCCTCCCTCCCTTCTCTCCCCTCCTCCCCTCAATTGTTTCTTATTAACTCTTCCAGGTGGCAGCCGGCTGGGTAGGGCGGCTTCCCGGTTTATATACATCATTTTATATACATACTCGGCTCAAATGGCTGCTTCTATTCTATTACAAGCTCTTTCAACCGCCAAACTTCCTGTTGTTTTCAGTTTTGTTTGAGGGTGTTTCTTTGGTATTTTGAAGAGGTGGCGATGTTTTTAGGTCCCCCCCCTACTCTGACAATACACCCCTTAAATTCAAGCCTAGCATTTCTGCAGTCAGCAGGGACGCACTGGCTTTAACCCTTTGAAGAGGGAGGGGTAAAGAGACCTCTTGTCACACTTGTCCAAGACTCAGGAAGGGGGAGGAGGAGCCTTGATACTTCCTCCCAGAGAACAAAATTTTATTCTTTCTTTGGAAATATGAACCAGTTTTCACACAGTACCCCAGACACGAGTCTGGAGCGGTTGCTGAAGGGGGACGGGGGGAGACGCAGGAGACCAAAAAGGAAGAGTACTTGTAGACATACTGTAAATCAAAGGCAAGAAGGCTTTCATTTTTACTTACGAAATTTGGGGCTGGTGCTAGTTTCTGGTTTGATGGTGGTAGAGGAGGAGGAAGAGGAAGAGGAGGAGGAGGAGGAAGAATCCTGAAAGGGAGACAGGGTCCAGGAGGGAGTTGAGTCGTGGAGGTAGGAGGAGGTAGCGTATGCCGCAGTGGGCCAAGAGGGCATTGGCTGGGTACTGGGGGCCCCTGGCAGGGGTGGGCGGGAACCCTGCGTGCTGCTGCTGAAGAAGGGGACCGTGGTGGAGAGTACTGTCGGGGGGGCTGCGGTGTGCCGCACCGTTGTGGAGCGGGGGCTGGCCCGGATGGGCACCCGGTGCCCAGGGAAGCGAGTGGGTGCCCGCGTGATGGTGGTCAGACGAGTGCTAATCCGGTTGGGCGTCCTGGAGGAGGCGGTGCCGGAGGACGGGGTAGAGGTGGAGGTGGATGTGGTGGTCGTGGTCGTGGTGGTCTCCATGCCCTTGGGGAAGGAGCTGGGCTTGGAGAGGAAAAAGGGGTCCTGGCCGATCCCCTTGGAGTCCACCAAGTCGGTGGGCACGTACTCCTTGACGGAACCCACCACGATCCATTTAAGGAGCATGAGGCTGAGCCCCAGGCCGATGAAGCCGATGAACAGGGGCACCACGCAAAGCCAAGTCTGTTGCCGGTTCCATACAATGCAGTTGCTACAGCGTAACTCCCGGGGGGGCTCGGCCGCCCCTTCCCCGTCCGGGCCCCCGCCCGCCGCCGCTGCTGCCCCTTCCTCGGCGGCGGCAGCGGCGGCGGCCGCTGTGGGAACAGCGGCAGAAGCGGCACCAGGTGGGGAGGCACCGCTCGCCCCTTCACTCATCCTAGGAGCCTTTTCACCTTCGCCCCCCGCGGGGAAGCCAGAGAGACATCAGGGACCCGGAGCCGGCGGGCGGAAAACAGCAGCGGTGGCGGCGGCGGCGGCGGCGGCGGCGGCGGCAGCAGCAGCAGCAGCAGCAGCAGCAGCAGCAGCAGCAGCGGCAGTAGCATGCGAATCTTCGCCCTTCCCCCACTCGCCCTCCCTCCCCCCCACTAAAAAAAAAGGGGGGGAAGAGAGATAGTGAGAGGGGAAGGAGGCGCGGAAAGAAAAGGGGGAGGGGAGGGAGGAAAGGAGTAGGGGGAAAAACCCTTCCCCCCAAAATCACCAGTCTTCCAGGCTTGAAGTCAGTTAATCGCGGGGCATCGGTCCTTTCCCAAAATGAGCTCTCCTCCTGTGTTGGCCCCCGAGCATCTGCCGACTCAGCCCCGTCACCATGCTGTCTCCATCCACACACAAAAGCCTTTCCAACATCCTCCTCCTTTGCCCCTTGGCGCTCCCCGGGGTTCTTCGCTCACAACCCCCACCACCACCCGTCTCCCTCCCTTCCCCCCCTCTTTTTTTTCCCTTTTTCCCCTCCTTTCTTCTTTGAATCCTTGCAAGTCACGGCAATCAACCTTCTGGATTTTTTACGATCCCAACCATCCGGATGGTGAAACACCAAGCCACATTCCAACACAGGGACTGGTCCCACTTTATGGGCGATTTTTCACCCACCCTTCTTCAATTTTTTTTTTCCCTCTCTTTCCTCTCCTCCCTCTTCTCTCTAGCCTTGGTGCACTAGCATTCCTAGGCTGCTTCTTTGAGAGCGACGGAGCAGCGAAATGCACCTGTTATTCAGCGGTCCTGCAGCCAACCCTTGGACAGCACTTTAAGAGAGAGACCAATCCAAAAGCAGAGCGGAGGGAGAGGAGACCACAGCTTTTCCTTCTCGCCTTCTCCCTTACCAGGATCAGCACCAGCGCCAGGACCAACCTGACATCCGAACTCAGGCAAGAGCTTTCTCCAGCATCAGTGGTCCAAGGATAAAGGAAAATAGAGACAGAGTCAGGTTAGGGGCCAGAGATCCGAGAAAAAGGCAAAGAAAATCCACATTTTTTTTTAAAGCACACCCTGTTGATGTCCAAACTAGCTATTTTTTTTTTTTAAAGCGGGAGTGGGGGAAAGAGGAAATATCTGTAGAGTCACTGGATTGAGATACAAGCGGAAGGCAGCTTTTGCCAACCTTGCAGCTCCCCGACTCAATTGTGTATTCCTAGTGCAGTGTCAAAGGAAGCAGGCTGGGTTTCAGGAAAAGTGTAGCACCTCCCACCAAAGCCTAATGGTGGTTTCTTAATGCGCATCTGATAAATAAATGATCCAAGCAAGCCTCAACGCTCCCCCCTCCCCTGCTCAACACCCCTAAGGTGGATGGCAAAATCCGTTTCTCTACAGGTTCTGAGCCCATCTCGGGTGCTAATCCAATAGGGTTTCATCTGAAGCTGGAGGGAATGTGCATGTGTGACTGACTGTATATCTGCGGATATGTGTGCCAGCCAAAGTACCCAAGTGTGGTTTAGAGGGAGACAGATACCTTCACACAGGATTTCCTGCAAGAGATATAATAGGACAGCCTTCTTTCTACAGTACTTGCAAAAAGTACCTGAACCAAGTGGATTAGAAAGCAGCATTCCCTCAAAGAAGTTCCCCCCTCCTCTCTTTTCCCCTTAAATATACAGCATATGTATATATGTATATATTATATATACACACATATACTCCCATGTATACATATATATGTATATGTGTGCGCCTGGGCAATTCTTGTTGTGCTTCAAGATAACTCCTTGTCATAACCACATAAGATTCTGTTTAAAGCTCCTCCCTCCTCATTAAAAAAATGATGTAAGCAAGGAGGTCGTATAGAAGATTGAGGCAAAATGAATAACCATTAGAAGAGCCCTAGATATAGTACTGAAGAAATTAGGACCAGCAGTATTTGAAATTCTACTTAACTCAATACTAGTTTACATTATAATAGGGTGGAAACTAGGAACCAGAAAGGATAGGGGTGAGACCTTTGATTTTCTTCCCTGTGGAACTCTGGGGTAAGGAGAATTCTTCCACAATACCAATGGACACCTCTGAAACTTCTCCTCCTGAAGAATCTTCTAACAGGCTAATAGGTTGAGTGTTTTGCCCAAGGTCACAAAGCCAGTTTGTATTAGAGATAGTATTTAATCCAAGTGTTCTGGCTCTCAACTACAAAAGAAAAGAACCTCAGAAGTTACTTCATAAATGCTTATCACAACAAAGAGTATTCCTCTCCAAACTCTACTCTCATCCCACTCTTCCTAAGACAACCAACACCCAGTTGTTGTTGTTGTTGTTTTAATAAATCAGCCATATTTGGCCAGCTTAATTAGGACAGAGGATACCTCTGCTTCCCCAGAACGTAAGAGCCTCCCTTAGGGGTGTAGATTTCTCAAGTGGCATACATTTTGATGAAGAATGGAGAGTGAAGTGAAGAAAATGGTAAAAAAAAAAGAATAGGAAAAATAAGAAAAGGAACAAGAAGAGGAGAAAAGGGGGAAAGGGGTGGGGAAGAGAGACTTTTCTTTACCAAAATAATATAATTTCTATCAGGAAAATGCTATGAAAATAATTTGGTAATAATGATGCTTTTGGAATTTTGTTCTTCTGAGGTTCTGGAAAATTTCTATGTAGAATTGTTTTTATTTATATTAGTTTATAGAATACCCACACTTTTCTGGAATTTATGACCTGTAGGGTTTTTTTTAATGAAGAAATTAACCTCATACATATGCACATACATTCATGTTTTCTCATCTTAAAAACAAACACCCATTTTAAACCCTTTTCAGCCAAGAAGTCTCATTGTTTAAAAACCTACAGACACTATTGCCTTTCATGCATTTCTCACCAAGACAATACAACAGAGCAAAAAATAGTAAGTTTTCCAAGCAAGATGTGGTGAAAAGACAGCAGATGTCATAAATGGAAAATCACTTCTTAAAGAGATGTCAGGATCATTGGCTTCCCAATTTTCCTCTGACCTCACTCTACATAGTAATCCTTTTGCCTCTCAAAGTTCCTTTGATTTGGGTTTCAACCCCACTCATGATTTGAAACTTCAGTTTTTTCTTTTGTCTGTATTTATTTCCTTCATGTATCTAATCCCTATATCATAGGGTTATTGATCTAAAATTAAGATTCTAAGATCTAGAACTAGTATTCTAAATTATTGGAAGATATCTTGGAGGACATTTATTCCAAAGTATTAATTTTAAAGATAAAGAATGAAGGTCCACATAGATTAAGTGATCAAATAAGGTCCTAAGTCAAACAAGCCAGCAAGAGCAGATTTGGGATTGAAACTTAACTCGTTTGGTTTCAGTTCCAGTGCTCTTTCCATTATACTATAGTCCTGGCCTAAAAGCACTGGGTAGGGATGACATATGGACCCCTATCTGGATTAAAGTGTTCTGGCATGCAGAATCACTACACTGATGCAGATCAGCAAATTGTAAATTCTAACAATAATGAGTTGCTGATGCATTTAGAGACTAAGTGATTGGTCCTTGGTCTCACAGGTAATAGATGCTGGTAGCCTGACTTAAATCTAGTTCTTTCTGTGTCCAACTCTTATTTTACCAATGAGGAAACGGAGGTCAAGAAACATTAAGTGACTTTCTCTTGTTCTCTCTGCCCTTCTCCCCCTCCCCCCCAAAAAAAGCTCTAGATTTCATCCCATGCTCTCTCATGTCAAATGCATTCCTCTTTCCACCACCCTGTTCTGATTCCTCATGTTCACAAATTCCTTCAGCATTATGACTGTTTTCAAATGAAGTTTATAAAACCTCTCCCTGTTTTATAAAATCATTTCCCTTTTCTACTTTGTTTTAACAACCTATTTCTCAGGTCCCCAGTGATTTAACTTCTCCCAATTCCTGAGCCGTGTACTTCAACTGCCCATTTGCTGCTCAGAAAAAAAAAATGGCATCACAGAAGGAAAATGGGGGGATAGGAAGTGTCCTTTACCTGACAGTCAGGTGCTTTGCATTCCATTCCAGCCCATCCAAGAGATTTTGGCTCATTTGGTGATCATTAACTTGCATTTTTGTCATTAGACTCCCTGGCAGCAGGTGCTAAGTATTGCCAGAGAAATCAGCCTGGGAATTCCACAGCTGACATCAGAGAAGGGGGCAGTCATTTGGAATTCCAGCAAGTTGCCAGCCAGTCTCATGTTAATTTGGTGCAGGTGTTTGGTGATTGGCAGTTTTTTTTGGCAATTTTTTTGTGGGTTTAAAGGAGGATAGAGAGTGGATTCTTCTTTCTCAAAAACCCAGAAGCAAGCCCTAGATTAAGAGTTCTGTTAAATAGAGCACCTCCCCAAATCAGTCTTCTAAAGAGTTACAATATGTGTTTGTTGGAGCACGCTGATGATTTTTATACAAGAGTTATCATCTGCTTCACATCAAGATGAGATCTTTGTGGAAGTATCAGCACAGTTGGTAAATTGTTCACCTTATAACCTGAGTAATACCTAGACCATACATGATAATTTAAAGCTCTGTCTTCCCAAGGTGCATCTACGGTCTGAGAAGCTCAATGCAGTGAGTTCCCCAAAGAGCCTGTACAATGACATAAATAACAAGAAATGCATAGCCTGGAGGGGCAATGGGTAATATGTTTTACTCTCGCTCATTATGATGACTGCTTCTAACTGTGCCCTTGGTGGGTGAGGGGGCAACTGCAACCATTGGAATTTAATGTTCGCACAACTCCTCCTTGCTTGCAAGTTGTAACTCCTCAGTGTAGTGTCATTTGCCCAGCAGCCAGTCTCTTTGTCACCAGCCAGTGTATTGAAGCTACTGACAAAGAGAGCAATCTTTTAGGCTTAGAGAAAGGAAACACACTGCAAATGTTCTGGGGACTCCATGGTACTCCATTATTGAGAAATTCCAGTTCCTAGACCTCCTTGAGCATCACTTCTTCCTAAGCTTTCCTATGTATTTGGGTTTTATCACTGACAACCCCTCTAGTGGCTTAAACCTTTGCCATTTGGAAAACAAAAAACCAAAAGCAATACAAAACAAAACAAAACTAATGTTTACCTATTTCTCAGTTGTTTCCTACCTGTTAGCTGCCTTGTTTCCAGGTTATGGTGGTTTAGCCTCTGATAGTTTTACAGAACAGTTCTATAAAATGATCTCTCTTTCTCTCTCTTTCTCTCTCCATCAGGATCTGCAATACTTCAAGAAACATAATGATAACTATCTCTTTCTCTGTATATATATATATATATATATATATATATGTGTGTGTGTGTGTGTGTGTATGTTTATAATATTGTACATATAATATACACACAATATGAATATGTAATATACATCTATACATCTACATTCTACTGCTGCAATATTTGTAAATTTGAAATATTCAATTTGACCAAGTTTTCAGGTCTTCTCAATTTTGACCTTCATTATGTCTCTCACATCCATCCACAGTTTTGGATTGCCACCCTGGTTCAGCCGCTTATCTCTTCTCACATGATTATTGTGCCAGTCTCTAAACTAACCTCCATGTTTCTAGTCTTCCTTCTCTAATACATCTTCCATGTTGCTGTCAAATTTGTTTCCCCAAAGAATAGGTCTGCTACATAAAGTAAGTTTCAAGGACCCCAAATAGCCTCTATGATAATTTGTTTTTCAGTTTTTTACTTGGATTTTAAATCCTTTCGCAATCTCACTCAAATCTCATTTCTAAAAAGGTTTCATATTTTGGGTGAAGAAAAGATTCTCAGAGAAGGGAAAAAGTTATTTGTCTTAAAAACTTTGAAAAGTTGTCCTATGAAAAAGGGAGAGGGACTGGTTACATTTAACCTTTGATCATGAGGGATGGGTAGGGCAAAATAAAGATCAATAGGCAGAAATTGAAGGAAAAGAACGGGCATTTTTATCAGTGGAAAAAATATTGAAAAAATAACTGTCCAAGTGCCATTTCAGGAAACAATAGGCTTTTCCTCCTCATTATGGATCTTCCAGCAACAATTAGATACTCATATAATTTGAAAATGGAATTTGGGTTTTTAATATATGGGTTGGGCTAGATGCTCACTAACAACCAGGGGTGGGCTGGAGCCAGCTCTTACCTATTCATGAGAGCCAATTTTTAACTTTTCAATGTAAGCATTTATATATCAGAAATTGGCAAATGCCACAAATCAGGATTTGATTTATTGGTTTGTTGACTGTCTTGACATAAGAAATTAATGGTGAAAATGACAAAAAAATTGGATTAAACTTTAAAGTGTGTGAGATCATCATCAGTTTTTAACATTTGCTAGCACTCCCCTACATCAACCATTCTAACTTGGAAGTTATGTGATTCTCCTTTCTTCATACTCCATTCCAACCAAACGGATCTCCTTGTCTTTCCACATATCCAGAATTCATTTTTTTACTTCCATAGTTTTGACACACACCCACATAACTGGAATGTTTTCCTTTCTCACTTCTAATTCTTGGAATCTGCACGTCACCAGCAGAAAGCAGGATCTGTTTAGAAACACATATCATGTCCAGAATCCATTAAATGCATAGTCTATTAGGTGAGATGTCTGAAGGAGCAGTACGTAAGGTCTTAGAGCAGTGACTTGATCCTAAACCATTTCTATCTGACCTCCATTAATTGCCTTTATTTTCCATCTCTTTGTTTTGAGTGAATAATTTTTATATCAACTAAGAGGAAACTGATGTGCTTCCTCTTAGCTGATATAAAAATTATTCACTCAAAACACTGACATTATTAAGCAAGGCAGTTTAAACACCTGTACCCAACAGAAATCAATGAAACCTAACATGCATTTGTAAAAATCCTGTCTTCCATTCAATTACCCCCCAAAAAAGGGGGGTTTGCCTCCTTAACTTCTAGGCTTGCTGTGAGAATCAAAGGAGATAATTCACATAAAACACTTCTCAAAGTTTGAGGCACCAAGTAACTGGAAACTATTATGATGATTGTTATCTTATCCTTCATCATTTTGATGGAGTTCAGATAGAAATAGTTTAGGGACAAGTCACTAACCTACTAAAGACCTTATACATTTAACGTGCAAACTACCACATAGATGGATAAAATCATGGCTTTTAAATTGAATATGAGTAGTAGAATGTAAGTTCTCCTGGAAACTCAGCCAAAGTTGTTTCAAGACAACTCTAGGAGCAGAAAAAATATCAGCCCCCATGCGGTAGCTTTATTTTACTGGGCTTCTGTATTTTACTGCCTTTTATTACATGTAGTTTGGAGCTTGGAAGTATTCATCTTGGCAAAATCTATCAAAAATGTTATTCTACTTTTTTAGTGGATGAATGATATAATCAAGAGGTTATGGTTCACAAATCTGCTTGTAATCAGATTCCAGTACCAATGTAGTTTATTTGTGAAATGCTTAGGAAGTGTTTGTGCTCAGAAAGTTCAGAGATTAGTAATTTGTTAGCATATAAAAGACAGTGAGTTTTCAATAAATAATTCTGGCGGCCTGATCATGTCTCTCTCTTTTAGCCTAGAGAATATGTGAGACTGGGCCAACCAGAACTGGAATACTACATTACTCCCTGTTTTGTACTTAGTCACTGGTGTTTCTGACAGATTCCAGCATAGGGATGGGTGGCTTCTAATTAGGAGGATTGAGCTCTTCATTCTCCTGCTCTCCGATTCATAAATTCTAAATCTGGGACCTCAAGATGATGCTAAATATAGTAAAGTCTCAGGGGGGATAAAGTAGGGACCAAAAGTATTATATGAACCAGGTATGGGACAGATAGCTTATTCTTACATGAAAATATATGCTAACCACAGAAGAACCATATCCAAGCATTAGCCAAATTTACAGGACTGGCAAATTTTGTAACACCTTATAACTATACTTACACTCAGTTGAGAGGCTGCTATTTAGCCTCATTAAAAGATCAACTTTTTTTTTTATATTACTATCTATAAGAGATGATATATTTCATCTCTGCTGAGTACTGTCTAATCAAATAGTCAAACTTAATCTCTTTTCTTTTTTTTTCTTTTTCTTTTTTTTTTTTTAGGCAATTGGGTTAAGTGACTTGCCCAAGATCACACAGCTGGTAAGTGTCAAGTGTTTGGTATGAAGTCAGATCTGAACTCAGGTCCTCCTGACATCAGGGCCAGTTCTCCATCCACTGCGTCACCTAGCTAGCTGCCTCTTGATCTCTTTTCTGCAACTACCATCTCTCCTGCTGAGTTTTTCTTGCAGTCAGCTTACTTCTGCCATTGCTGCAATAGCAAATGACTCCTCTGGTGGGCACTCGCTTCTAAATTTTTAGACCTTCTGACTTTTCACTCTCAAGGTCCTCAGAACCTGTCCTTCTTGCAGTACCTATATGGCCAAGATTAGAAAAACAAATAAACAAACACAAAAGTGGCAAAAGTAGCAATCTCCTCATGGAAGTACATAAAAAGTGTCTTTTCAAAGGTCTGTAATTGTGTCCTCAAGCCATTTCTGTCTTGATGATGCTTGACACCAATTCTTTCTCGACAGCTTCAACCCTGGATTCTTTCAGTTCCCACTTAAAAATCTTGCTTTCTACAGGAGCCCTTCTCCCATTCATCTTAATTCTACCACCTTCAATCTGTTAATGTTTCCAATTTCTACTCTACATAGCTTAGATAGATAGATACATAGATAGATAGATAGATAGATAGATGTTTGCAGGGCATCTCCTCCATTGGACTGTGAGTTTCTTTAGAGCAGAAAGGTGCCCTTTCCCAAATCCAACTCTCAAAGCACAAGTACAAGCAGATCCACTCCGTGTACTTAGGAGTCAGAGAGAAAAAGTGGTAGAAGAGCATGTCAATTCCTTTTTACATCTATTGCATCAAAAACTCTTTTGATTCAATAGCCAGGTAGGGGAATATAACTTTCATTTCACAGATGGCCAGAAGCAGACCTTCGCCCCAAACAAACAAACAAACAAACAAACAACTCCTATAAGTTCAAGTAGAACCAGGTAGAGAAGAATTTCGAAAAGAAAAAAAAACATATATGTTCTCTACAAATGAGTATTATGCCATGTATACAGTAATGCCAAGTTTTTACAACTGTAGTTTATTTCTACCACTTCAAGGCTTTACATCAATTACTGTATTTATGCATTCTTTAATGATACTATTTCTATAATTTCTGGTAGTGATGATCTAATCTTAGGTTTTTCTTAAAAATCCCATAATTTATAGAAACCAATTAGTTAGACATATACTGTTGCAGTTGATGCAATGTCTGCCCTTGTTCTTCTCCCTCTCCCCGTCCTGTCCCTGTTATTCTCCCTCTCCCCCTCCCTCCTTTTCTCTGTCTCTCTGTTTGTCTCTCTCTGTCACTTACTCTGTCTCTCTGTGTCTCTGTCTTTGTCTTTCTGACTATCTCTGTCTCTTTGTTTCTGTCTCTACCTCATTCCATTCTTGGAGCTTAGCCATTTCATTGTTTTTATCTAAAGATACAACAGTTTTGGTAACATTTCACAAATCATAGAATATTATGATTGTCAGACTTTCCTATTTGTGAAGTGAGGTCTGTTTGTCCTAAAAATCACTTCTATGAAATTGTAAACTCTTTATCATGTAGTCTAAGACCAACCATCAATCTTCTTCTTCCTTTTTTCTCAAGGAAATATTATTCTTTCTATGGTGTCTTAAAGATAGACCCTATTTTTCATTACCATTTGTGTGAGTTTCGGTTTGGACATCTTGATATTTTGTTGTCCATTATATTATGCCCAAAGTACACATTTGCAGTGGTATTGCATAGTCATTATAAATATGTTCTAAATGTGTTATTTTCAGGGAAGTTTTCTCTTCAGGATGTCAGTCAACGTCTTAACAAATTCAACTACGGTTTTCTCTTAGATTCAATGCATCTTGCTTAGAAATTTATCAGCTTCATCCATTTATTCCATGTTTCTTTTCTATTACCTATAATTAGACATAATAGTGTTCAAGTCTTCTAACAGCACACTGGCTAGATAGTGATGTGATCCTTTGCTGTCTTTTCAAAGGTCTGTAATTGTGTCCTCAAGCCATTTCTGTCTTGATGCTTGACACCAATTCTTTCTCAACAGCTTCAACCCTGGATTCTTTCAGTTCCCACTTAAAAATCTTACTTTCTACAGGAACCCTTCTCCCATTCATCTTAATTCTACCACCTTCAATCTGTTAATGTTTCCAATTTCTACTCTACATAGCTTAGAGAGATAGATAGATAGATAGATAGATAGATAGATAGAGATAGGTGTTTGCAGGGCATCTCCTCCATTAGACTGTGAGTTTCTTTAGAGCAGAAGCTATCTTTTATCTTTCTTTGTATTCCTATTACTTAGCACAGTGCCTGTCACAGAGTAGGCCCTTAGTTAATATTTACTGATTGACTGACTTAATGTGACAATAGTCAGAGCATATACAGTTGTGTGCAAATTCTGTAATGGTTTTATATTTCATGTGAAATACCTAGAAACTAATATTGTATGGTTAGTATTATCTCATTCTTCTCATATTATTATATTTAATGAAGACAATCTTAGATCTAAATAAAGAACAAGTCCTGAGTGAACTTGATAGATTCCAAACCAGATTTCCAACATCTAAAATTAATAGATTTGATGGTTACTGTGTTACTGATCATTATCTTTCTTTAGGGGAGTTGTTTTCATTTGCATTTCTCTTATCAATAATGATTTTGAGCATTGTTTGTCATATGACTATAGTCTTGATTACTTTATCTGAAAACTACCTATTCATATACTTTGACCATCAGTTGAGGAATGGCTCTTATTTCTGTCAAATTAACTCAATTATATATTTGTGCATTGTGTATATATATATATATATATATATAAAATATATATTTATATACATATACATGTATATACACATATATGTACATATATACATATATTTATATATTTGAGAAATGAAGTATTTATCAGAAAAACTCATTGTAATTTTTTTCACAGAAATGGTTACCAAATATATATTTCCCTCCACCCAATTTCCCCTCTCTTTATTCTATGGTCTCTCATTTTACCTTGTTCATTCTTAAGTGATTTGCTTCTGACTTTTACCTCCCCCAAACTACCTTCCCTCCTATCAGCTCCCCCCACCCCCCTCATCCCTTCCCTTCCTAATTTCATGTATGTTAAGATAGATTTCTACACCCAACCAAGTGTATATATTATTCCCTCTTTACACCAGTTTTGAGAGTAAGTCTTACTTTCAGAGTACAATGCATGTGCTCCCCCCCACTTCCTCCATTTATCCTTCCACTGCAAAATCTCTTTCAGCCTCTTTTATGTCAGATGTTTTCTCCCTCTCCCTTTCACCTTTTCCCAGTGCATTCTTCTTTCTTATCACTTAATTTTATTTTTTTAGATAATCATACCATCACATTCAACTCACATCTCTGCTTTCTATCTATGTATACTCCTTCTAACTTCCCTAATAATGAAGAAGTTTTTAGAAGTTATAAATATCATTTTCCCATGTAGGAGTATAAACAATTTAAACTTATCAAATCTCTTATAAGCTTGCTTTACTGTTTACCTTTGATGCTTCTCTTGAGTTTTATATTTGAAAATCAAATTTTCTATTCAGCTCTGGTCTTTTCATCAAGAATACTTGAAAGCCCTCTATTTCATTGAATATCCATTTTCCCTCTGAAGGATTATACTCAGTTTTGTTGGGTAGGTGAGTCTTGGTTATAATCCTATCTCTTTTGGAGTATCTTCTCCTTTACCTGGGAGGTCTGGAATTTGGCTATAATATTCTTGGGAATTTTCATTTTGGTATCTCTTTCAGTAGGTGATTGGTGGTTTCTTTCAATTGCTATTTTACTAGAATATCAGTGCAATTTTCCTTAATAATTTCTTAAAAGATGATGTATAGGCTCTTTTTTTTTTATCATGACTTTTGAGTAGTCCAATGATTCTTAAATTATCTCTCCTGGATTTATTTTCCAGGTTGGTTGTTTTTCCAATGATATATGTCACATTGTCTTCTATGTTTTCATTCTTTTGGATTTATTTGTTTGTTTCTTGAGGTCTCATAAAGTCATTAGTTCTACTTGCCCAATTCTAACTTTTAAGGAATTATTGTGTTCCGTGAGCTTTTGTACCTCCTTTTCCATTTGGATAATTGTATTTTTTGCTACTTTTATGCATTTTCTTTAATTTTTTATTTGTTTTTAATTTTTTATTAATTTATTTTTTAGTTTTCAACATTCACTTCCATAAGCTTTTGAGTTTTAAATTTTCCCACCTGCCCTACCCAAGATGGCATGCAATCTGATATAGGCTCTACATATGCATTCCTGTTGAGCATATTTTCACATTAATCAAGTTTAAAGAAGAATTAGAACCAATAGGAGGGACCACAACAAAGAAGAAACAAAACAAAACAGAAGAAAATTTTAAAAAATAGCAAATAGTATGCTTTGATCTGCATTCAAACTCCGTAGTTCTTTCTCTGGATATTGATAATATTTTCCATCATGAGACTTTTGAAGATGTCTTAGATCCTTGTATTGCTGAGAAGAGCTAAGTCATTGCACAGCATGGCTGTTACTGTGTACAATGTTCTCCTGGTTCTGCTCACTTCACTCAGCGTCAGTCCATACAAGTCTTTCCAGGTTTTTCTGAAGTCTGATTGCTCCTCAGTTCTTACAGTACACAATAGATTCTATTGCATTCATATAACACAACTTGGTCAGCCATTCCTCAATTGATGGGCATCCCCTCAATTTCTAATTCTTTGCCACCACACAGAGTTGCTATAAATATTTTTGTACATGTGGGTCCTTTTCCCATTTGTATGATCTCTTTAGGATACAGCCCAGAAGTGATACTGCTGGGTCAAAGGGTATGCACATTTTTATAGCCCTTTGGGCATAGTTCCAAATTGCTTTTGAAAATGGTTGGATCAATTCACAACTCCACCAACAATGGATTAATGTTCCAATTTTCCCACATCTTCTCCAACATTTATCATTTTCCTGTTTCGTCATGTTAGTCAATGTGATAGATGTGACATGGTACCTCAAAGTTGTTTTGTCTTGCATTTC